TACACCCTTTAATCAACACTGTATACCACATAACTACACAATCTGCTTCTCCCAACAACAACTCTACATTTTCTTCCCCACTGCTACCTCCATGCTCTATTAGGGGCTTGTCCACAGGGGCCGGTAGTGCTTTATACACTTTTACCTTGGTATTTCCAATTTCCTGGGGTTTTGGTCTCTGGTATGAGGTAGGTGTTTGAAAACTTTACCAGAGCCTGTATAAGAAGCAGGATTGTGTTCTGCAACATATCGTGCAGTTCTTTATGGAACCAGTAGTGGCAGACACTGGAGAAGAAGAGGATACAAATATAATGTAACATTCCTAATTTGAAACTAATGGTACCTTTAAGATATTTCTAAAAATAACTTAACACCTAACTGGTGCCATTATGAAACAAACAAACAAAAAAACGACGAAAAGCAGTTTAGGAAGAGGTGCCCTACTTAACAGTTACTGTGGCTAAGGAGGGTGTGTTTTTTTCTATAAAATGTGGGTTGCCAGTTCAAACCTGCTCTCTGTCTGTCTCAGTTGTTGTGTCCTTAGGCAAGACTCTTCGGCCACCTGGCCTACTGTTTCTAGGGACATGGTGGCACCAATTGCAAATCAGCGTGTGTAAAAAAAACTTCTTAACTTTTCCTTTATTTTATATCCTCTAATATGAATTTTTATATAAATTGAGTCCTTTAATATAGTTAAATTCTTTGTTTTTTTGCAAAGTCTGGGCTAATAAAGCTCAATTTGATTCAGAGGACATTATTCAGCTATTTTAAAGGCAGTGGAGCCCTCTTATCTCCTGACAGTGTCACATTTTGTAAAATTGATTTACCTGTAGATAAAAAAGGTTCTTCATTTGACATTTTCTTAGGTTTTTTTTTCTTCAGCTAGAGGCATTGACAAAGAAATGTTGCTGATTAGTTGTCAATGTAATGGCGGCAGATTTAGTCTCCTTTCCTTATTTTTTGAGAAATTTATCATCTGAAGACACAGACCGTGTCATGAACAGATGGTCAGGCATGATATATGAAGCTAGCGAGAAGGATTATTGCTATGCAACACCTGTGGTCAATGACAATTTTATTCATTATAAGGACCTTGGCACCACTTCACACCTACAGCATGAACCTCCTATTCCAACAAAAAGATTTTCTCTGTGCTATTACTGATAGAATACTTTGCTAAGGAATTCAATTTACACATTTTTCTCCAACCATATTGCAAAACTTACTATATCTTATTGGTTTATTTTTGTGATAGATTAACCAAAGTAATGGGATATTTCAAAGTTTAAAATTCCTTTTTTAAATTGACTAAAAGTTTATTTAAAGTGGGGCTTGGACATATACTATGGACTTTGATGAATCCCACCAACCTTATTGGTCTAATAATAAGGTTAATTTTGCAGGGCTTCATGTTCTGGAGTTTTTTGTTTTCCAGAGCTTTGTGCCTTGCAATCCACTTTAAAACAAAAATGTAAAGATATGTCAGATACCTTTTGAATTCCATCTAAACACTCAGCTATACTTAGCTATATACTGGCAATGTTTTAATCTAAGTATTGAACTCCAGGGGTCTGTTACACGAAGCAGATTTGCCGAAAACTCCAAGTTTTGTAAACCTGAAAACAGGGAAACTCTGACTTTTCTGTTTCATAAAGAGAGTTTCAGTCAGCTGAGAAAAAATTCTCCCGGAGGCTAACATGGTGGGTTGCAGGTTTTCCTGCTAGATATCATTCACCAGGTCCGTTACACACATTGGGTTCTAAAAACAAACATTGCATGTATGTCTGATGAGGATCTTATAAAAAGAATGATCTGCACTTTTTCACAGAAAATTAAATATTTATAGGGAAAGGATTCTACAACTCAGTTGACAGGGCATGAGATTACTTGTTTTGGTTTGTTTAATATGAGCGAGATGTGCATAATTTTATTTCTATTTAGTTATATTTACAGTACATGAAGAACTACTGAAATAATTTTCAGATTACCCATAAATAGATTCATTAATTACATGGAGAAAAAGGAATTACCTGTGCCTACTGGCACAATTTTAAGGCATTCTATGGGCCTGGTAGCTGCTAATAACCATTTATTGGGATGATAACACCCAGAGCACGGCTGCAAACAGCCACTTACTATTTACTGTGTAAAAATAGACTGTATCAACATCAGCAATTTATTAGAATTTATTATTTATTACAACAACATTTTTAGACTTCATTTTCACTTGCTGCCAGAAGATTTCACCTAAATAGATACATTGATCTATCATCTACTACCATTTAAGAAATAATCCCGTAATATTATACCGTTCACTACAGGCTACGGCAAGCCATTTTGATATGGATTAGTTTTACTGAATATGTATTCCTGATATCTGAAAAACATTTTTCAGACAAAAATACACCCTCAACATCTAAAATAAACATTCTGGATGTCTATTAATTAATTCTTATATCACTGGTCAGCATTTGTATTATTTTTACTATGAAAAAATTTATTTCAGATATCATAAATACAAATTTCTACATATATAAAACAGTTTTTTTTTTCTTTCTAAAAATCAGTTTGTGCTACAAAAATTTAATTTAGAAAATATGTTATTCCAGTTCAGTCTAGAGGTGTGATTTTGATCAGGAAGAATCCTATTTTTAAGGATCTACAAATGGAACAACATACAGTAGAGTACTTTTAATAAATGTAAAAACGGCCTGCCAAAATGGACTTCATATAAGCTTACGAATTAACTGAAGCAACAATCTTCTCTTTCACCATCTTCCTCACCTTTGCAGCTGTAGTGCTGTTTCACTGTTTTTTAAACAAATTCTAATTTTTTTTTTAATTTCTTCATTAAAACATCTAGTTCCAGTGGGATGAAATAGGCACTTCCTTTTGCCTGTTGTCATGGTGACTCGTCAAATCGACGCTCCACTAATAATGGCTTTTCAAACTTGTTGCACATGTGCTAAACTCTGAATGGTTCTACTTGGAGTTGATTTAACTAATTCATAGCAGCCATAGTTAAACTGAAAACTCAGAGTTCCCGACTTTGGGCTAAATCAATTTAAAGTTTGAATCTGAGTTTGTTAAACCTGCTTCGTGAAATGGTCTTTTCAGTATCTAACAGTTTTTCTGCCACCATTCTCCTGCCCAAAAACATGTTGTTGCAAAATCCATGTTTAAAGAGTGAGGTGGCATATTTCATAATGTTTTTAAATCAGTTAATCATTATATCATCTTATCACACTCTGCAATTGGCAGTATACCACATCTTTACTGTGATGCCTTTCTTTAAAAGGTTAAATATTGGAAAATTCAGCTGAAAAGATCAAAGTTCTATATACACATATAACTTTCTCTGGTGTCCAGTAGGTTCTTGATCTCAAAAGACATCCATTCAGATAATCAATAAAAAAAACATAGGGGCCAAGGTGAAGACGAAGGATCACTGTCTGACTCTTCAGCAGTCATTACATTTGCATCTGCGTGGGACTTTTATCACTACAGACTATTTTTTTCTGTTAAATCTATAGCATTAAAAGGGCAGGGAAAAAGCTAAGAAAGTGTTTCTATTTGACTTACTGCACTTGTTGTGGAAAAGGTTTTCTGGTCAAGTTGTTAAATAACAGTTTTCTAAACCGGTGTGATGCTTCTGATGCTGGGGCATCTGCTGAAGATGTTGTTCACTCCTACTTGAACACCAAAGTAAAGCTGCTCTGTCTATCAAACTCATTGTTCCTATATGTTCTGCTTTAGAGTCAGATAAAGGGGTGAGGCTCTTCTGCATACATAGATCAATATTTAAATAGAGGAATTAATGTGAAAATAATAAGAATCTCCCTGTGCTTATACAGGACCAGTTATAAAGACAT